CAACATTTCGCAACGAAACTTTGGAATATTACTAATTTTGTGATGCTCTTTCAAGTTGTGATGAAATTTTTGTCTAGACCAAAATTTAGTCTATAATGCAAATGGTCCATTCTCGAACGTAAATTACTCAATTTCTATACACTTCTCACTTTTAAACCTAATCAGGAACAGTTGCGAAAAATGAAACTTCAGGCCCTCTGACAGGAATCGAACCTACGATTCCTGTACAGTGCTCTAACCAATACGACAGCCCTTATACTTGATCTCTTGAAAGAACAGTTTAGACAAAAGTGCATGATGACTGTATTTTAAGGTGACCGAATTACAGAAAGAATGCTTTAGATTGGTATTTTTCCGGAACAAAAAATGTTACCGTGATAAAGGCCTATTTCCACTCAGGAACATTTTCCACTGAAAGAAAATTTTGTAAAATGTGATTGGCCGACACAAATTTCCCGTCGGAAAAAATTTTGAAGTGGAGAATTTTCAACTTTTAACAATGATATTTTCGGAAAATTTTCTGTCCGTGAAAATTTTCTTTAGTGGAAATGGGCCTTAACGGGGTAGCCGTATTAATAGCTGAATACTAAAAACAAGGAATTATATACCCTACCTGTTTCAAGTGGCTGGTCAGAGCTGGTACACTGTAAATGTTGATACAACCACTGTCCATAATACATGCCATATCAGAACCATTTGGACTGAGACTGAACGAGATAATTCGCTGAAATATTAAGCACCATAGACTGAAGCGTATGTTATGTAAAGAAAGTGGGGACGAGACTTAAGGCACACTCACAGTGATAACTTTCAACAAAGTACAATACCTTCTCGTGTGATCCAACTTCAAACACCAACTTGCAAGTATGAATATTAACAAAGCGAATGATGCCATCCTGAGAGAGAATGCCAACAGTCTGACTGGATCCGCCATCAAAACTGTCAGCGAGGAACTCTAGTTGTTTCACCATCCTTACTTTAGTTGGTAAATCAATGATTCGTAACAACGTCTTGGACTCCAAGGTCCAGATATGAAGAAAATGTGATCTGTAAGTGAACGCACACACTGAAATATTTTTGGTAGATGGGCGAGTCTCAATGGTACTTACAATGCAGGGATATTGTTACTAAGTCTAAGGAAATAATTTATGACAGCATTTAGAATTATTGACAGCTTTTCTTGGTGAATTAGCTGAAGAAGGTAAGCTCAGTTGCAGTATACTTTAAGTTCTTATCAAAGGGATATTTGTTACAGTACTTTAAAGGTGTGTATCAGTGGGATAAACGCTGATTAAAATGAGCAAAAAAATGTCCAGTAAACATTTCTCCTTCATAGCTAGTCTTTAGGCAATAGGTTTTTAGGCAATAGTTAATCTGACAAATCTGACTTGAGGTAGCGCCCATGAAACTACAAAATCCGAAATACCGCCGAAATCCAGCGTACTTTATGCACAAACCGTGGATATAAAGTATGACGAAAACACTGTCAGGTATAACTGAGACCCTACCACTGTACTCAAAGTCTCAAACCTTGTAGTGAAATGTTTAAACTAACCCCCTCCCCCTTTCATTACCTTCCTCCGGCAGCAAGCAATCTTCCATCTCTGGGTGTGGCAAAGGCTCGATAATGTGGCGCAGGTCCTTCAGGTACGGGCAACTGATATTTGCACACAAGGCTTTCAAAATCCCAAGCAAATATACTGTCGTCTTTGAAACTCGAGATTATCGTGTTACTCAAGGGCAGAAAGAACACCTAAAAAATCATGTCACAGTCTGATGTAAAGTAATGAAAGATTCTTGCGAGGTGAAACGTGTTTACTTGAACAGAAAGTAACGAAAACAACTGTTGGCCGAATAGATCAAAAGACGCAGTAAAGGCCATGATGTTACACGAGGCATTGCGTTGTAAGTTGTAGAAAAAATTGTACCACGACCTTAAGAACAGGACCGGAATGCGTTTCCCGATGCGTTTCACTCGCATTCCATCTGTCCTCCCCCCCCCCTCCGCGTTCCGAACGCGCGTTCTAATTCACATTCAAGTTGTGTTCCAGTCCAACCGAAAAATAGATAAGGTTTGATAAGAGTTGCAACTTATCTTCAATTTTACGCACGCGGTAATATTCGGTCAACTCTCATGCAACTGTTGTTCTCGTTTGACTGGGGCATGAAAGTTGAGAACACCCTCATGTAAACTCTCGCTTGCCAACTCTCATCAACTCTCATTGAGACGACTCATCCTTATTTGACCAGGGCTTAAATTTGCATGGTGAAAAATAGTTGTTTGGTGGGGAAATACCAACGTTTATTGGTTCCTATGACGTAAAAAATAAAGGACGTAAAAACTAAATGCCGGAAAGACGTGATGGCAATTCATCAAAATGGTGATTCACTACAAACTTTAAGACTTCAAAATGTAGAATTCTTGGACCTAACCCCACCTGCTGAATACCAACAGTCTGTGCACCATTCAAGGTCTTTTTCTTTGTGAAAGTATCAAGATCCCAGATTTGAGCAATTTCATTGGCTGTGGTCAAAGCATGTCGTCCAGATGCATGGATTGATATAGAACATATTGATGATTCATGATCTTTCATCAAGCTTACTAACTCTTTTCTTTCTAAAGACAAAAGCATAGACAGATTTTTAGATTTGTCTCTGGAGGGGGGGGGGGGGGGGGAGGTGCAGAAAATTTAAGGGATGTAGCTAATGGGGGCAAGGTTGGAGGTAAGGGTAGAAAGACCCCAGGATGGGTCTGGGGGCACAGTTGCTAATTGGGGCAAGGTTGGAAGTGAGGGGCAAAGCCCTCAGGAAATTTTTGGTCTTATTTAGTTCAAAATCCTTATTTTAATCACACTACTGTCATATAATACAATGAACATTTAAATTTGTGGGGAGTGCAAATTTCTCTAGGTGGGGTGGGAAAACATTCTGAGAGGGTATGTGCATCCCCCAGAGGTATGTGCATCCCCCAGAAAATCCATCTATGGACAAAAGATTCAATAGCACTTATGAAATCTTATACTTGTATTCATGTACTGTATTGCAAGCCAAAACCATTCCTTTATAATTATTATTTAACTCTGATACTAGACTATTAAATAGTAATACCTGAATCATAGCACCTGAGTGAGCAATCTCCAGATGCCACTAATACTTCATTTTTTCTGCATAAATTAAATGCTAAAGCTGTACATGGGGAGCCTGTTTTTGTCAATAATGTAAACCTAAAATACAATAAAAATGTTTTCAAAGTCAAAGTCAAAGTCAAAATACTTTATTTACTGAGGGTAAAAACACCATTACTGGTTGCCCAGTAGTTTTAATGATGGCCCTGACACAACTAGGAACATCTCCATGTCAATTTGCATTATTTACTACAATAACATAGTCTGTATATATCAACACAGACTGTAACAACACTAGCTAAAAAACGTACGTGTTTCTACTCAAATAGAAAATAAAAATATTTCCTTGTTGGTCCCCAGCAACAAAGGAATCTCCTGTGCTACTGAATGCTAGCTGGGTGAATCTGACACAGTGTTTGATTGATGCCAGAGCACTGGATGTTGACTGAGAGATGGAAAGTAGAAGTCTATAAAATTAAAATTAAACTCATTTAATTGTTGCAAGTTTGGTATATATAATTTGGACATGTAGAACAGAGACAAATTTTCATATTTTCGTTGGGGGGGGGAAGGGGTGGACAAATATCTGGGGGGAGGGTGTGCTGCTGCTTGCTTTGGCCGGGGTGTGGTGGCAACGCCCGGAAAGACCAAGGAAAAAGTTTAACAAAATTTGTTTTCTAGGCTTGCATGGCGAGATCGAGACCATAATATTGGTAATTTTACAAATTTAGTAGTAAATTTAGTAGTATTTTACAAATTTAGCAGGGGTGTCAAATGCCTTTGAGGGGGTGCAAATCAATTCTGGCCCGGGGTGCACCCCCCCCCCCCAGAAAATCTGTGCCTGATTACAAGCAACATTTTTGACACGGACGTGACCCGAGTGTTTGTGTAAGGAAGCAAAAACTTTCAAATTCTTATGTTCTGTCATATATATTATATGTGTTGAAGATTACCACAAACACACTTTTTAATCCAGCCCCCCCCCCCCCCCAGTACTGTATATAATCTGATGTCCATAATCATTTGTGGGAAATATAC